CGGGGGTAGTATTTCGATTTTAAAGAGAGACCAGGCAAGTTGGGTACGTGGTTGTTCACATATGGAGCGTGCATGGAATAATCAAGGAAAGTAGCAAAGATAGAGGCGTGCCGCACAGGAGGTAAAGCACAAACATCGGCTAGCGGGAATGAAAAGGTACGAGTAATTTACATTGGTTATAGGCCAAGTTGCATAACATATACACATCACAATAGTCGAGAAGGAACAGGGGATAAGGGCGCCGAAAAAAAAATAGAGAAAGAGTTTGGCGTGAAAAAAAAATTCAGTACCGGATTTGAGGAGGTACTCGACCGCCAGGAGCCATGTTGGGTCCTTGATGGGTGTTGAAAAGGTTGGAGTTGCGTGCTCGAAGAAGAATGAGAATTAGGGAGGTAGCAGGGTTGTTTATTTATAGTGAATGAGAATAAGTGCCCAAACCTCTATGGATTAGGACTGGTTTGTGCCTGGTCATCAAGGATTCCTTGTTAAGAGAGGAGAAGGAATTCGGCCACACAAAGATGTTTTAGCGAGAAAAAAAAAATTCAGCGCTGCCGCTGTTGCAAACAGCTCAGTCGAAAAAAAAAAGGGTAGCCTAGCAGCCCTGATATAAAAAAAAAATTCTAATGCATGGCGGCATGCAGCCCTGACAAAAAAAAAAAAGAAAAAAAAGGAGAGAGGTGGCGGTCAAACTGCCTTGAGAATTTAAAAAAAAAGAAAAGAAAAAAAAGCTCTTAGCGCTGCCCGCTAACAGCCCTGATAATAATAAAAAAAGGGGGTAGAGAGGGCGGCCAAACAGCTCTGGCGAGAAGAATTTTTTTTTTAATAATAAATAAAAAGAGGCCGCCTTAACAACCCTGATAAAAGAAAAGGGTCTCCCAGCACTGCGGCTGTTGCTAACAGGCCTGATAAAAAAAAATTATTATTGTTATTAATTAATGATGCCAGCGCTGGTAGAAGGGGGAAAAAAAAAGAGAAGTTTTGCCGCGCGACCGCGTTGTTGCAATTAGCCGCAATACTGGCGGCCAAAATCATTTGGCCATTCATGAGGGTTATATAATTGGTAATTAAAGATTTCTTTGCTAACTTTGGCCTACGTGTTTATTTTGTTTAAACACTTTGAGCCAAGTATTTTAGGTGTTATATTATTTTGTCAACAATTTGGTTCATAATCCTTATAAACCAAATTGTGGGGGGCATTTGTTGACACCTAAAATTAATTCGGCCGGAATTAAAAGCCGCTTTAATTAGTCTCGGCATTTAAGTCGATACCGCGGTAAAAAACGGTGTCGTTGGGAGTCGAGCGACGTCGCGTAGAACTAAAACTGTACCACAAGGAAGCTCAGCGGTACCGCGGTACTGGAAACGACGCCGCTTACCGAAAAACAAAAGGGGCCGCCCGTTTAGTGTGTGTATTGGGGAAGTGATAGAACCTGGGATTAGGGTTCTATCGAGAATTGGGGATTTAGGGATTAAGAACAGAATTAGGGATTTGAGATTGGGATTAGGAGAGGAAGAACAGAATAAGAATCGGCCGAAGCCTTTGATTTGGGACGAAGAGAAATTAGGAGATACGGGAAGCTTAGGGTTTGGGAGGATAATTCTTTAACTGATTTCTGCTTAATTGAACAAAAGACCCAGAGTACATATTTATAACGAAAGACTCGAAAAAACCTAATAGACTATCCTAATATGACTCAATGACTACTAACCATATCTAGATGAATCCTAATAATAACTATAATAATAAAAATATCATAATAGAAACCGTGGGTTTCTATCATCCCCTCCCCCTTCAAACCAACCTTGTCCTCAAGGTTGCAGCTAAATTCCATCTCCTCGACCATCCGCTTTCTTCGTTTCCAATTGCGATCGATCCCACAATTGGCTTCTTCTCCAGCAACTTCAATGTCTCTTGGCTCTTCTCCAATTACGTGGCACATGTCGCGTCCTCCATAGCTTGACATGTATTCTTCCTTTTTGTCGAAATCGATAAAGAAAGAATCGGAGAACTGTTCTCCCTTGTGACCCTCCTTTCCTCTAAGTGCGTTGGGTCTAAACTCATTTGAGAGCCCACTAGCTAATTCTTTAGACTCATCTCCCATTTCCCCCATGCCCATATACTTTAAAACATAGCCCACATTAGGCTCACTTTCTCCATGTAGACGCGGCCCAGATTCTTCAAATTCTGGCCCATAGCCTGGCCCAGACTCGACCCACCTGAATCCACACTCTGGCCCGCTATTCTTTGCCTCTCGGTCTAAATAAAACCCAGTAGCCTTTATCTCTTGAAATGGACCAAGAGTAATCACATTTGGCAGATCTCTTTGGCCCAACCAAAACCCCACTACTCCCTCCTTTCTTGCATGCGGCCGCCCCAAGCTTTGATGGTTTTCCTCCAGAAAACGGCCCACTCGCCTAGGCCCATCGGGATGTGCAGTCCGAGTAGCAACGCGGCCCATCGGTGACCTGACCTGCTGCCTTGCGGCGCCGACAGAGTGAGGGTTTGCACGGAGAGACGAGCCGCCGTCCTCCATCTCCTTCGTTGTGCCGCCCTTCCCCACTTCCTTCGTCGGCGTCTCGCACGGAGGTTGTCCACCTCCATCTTTCTTCTCCTTCTCCGTCAACGCGCGAGGAAGCTCACTGTCATCACCACCTGCTCCCTCCTCCTTCTTCTTCTTCCCCGGAAGCAGATCGATCCTCCCCCGGCAAGAAGGCTCGCATGGCTCCACCCAACACGAACTGAACTCCAAGCTCCTGCTCGCTTGTGCCACTGCCGCCGGCGAGCCTCCGTGGGCGAGCGCCGCCCCGTCACCCGTGGCGCCACGCCCACCGCCAGCTGCGGCCGCCTCCCTTGACAAGACAGTTGCCGCCGCGCTCGGCGGCCCTTCCCGCGGCAGCGCCTCGAGCGCGCGCCCTCCTACCACCACCTGCCGCGGCGCCGCCGTCGATCGCCCGGCCGGGTCGCCTGCCGCCTCCGCCTGCCCGCCCTTCGCGGGGCAGTCCTCCTCGCACGCCTCAGCTTCCCGGTCGGCGCAGAGAGCGTCAATCCGCTGCAGCAGCCGTGTCCAAGAGGGATCAGAGAGCCTTGCAGAGCTCATGTTGGCTCTGATACCAAATGATAGAACCTGGGATTAGGGTTCTATCGAGAATTGGGGATTTAGGGATTAAGAACAGAATTAGGGATTTGAGATTGGGATTAGGAGAGGAAGAACAGAATAAGAATCGGCCGAAGCCTTTGATTTGGGACGAAGAGAAATTAGGAGATACGGGAAGCTTAGGGTTTGGGAGGATAATTCTTTAACTGATTTCTGCTTAATTGAACAAAAGACCCAGAGTACATATTTATAACGAAAGACTCGAAAAAACCTAATAGACTATCCTAATATGACTCAATGACTACTAACCATATCTAGATGAATCCTAATAATAACTATAATAATAAAAATATCATAATAGAAACCGTGGGTTTCTATCAGGAAGGAGTTTCTCTAATTAATTATTATTTTTATTCCTTGTTGGATGGGAAGACGCGGCACCGCGGATTTAAAAACGGTGCTGCTGAATTAAAAACGGAACCGCGAGAAAGCCCAACGGTACCGCTATACTAGCAAACGACAGTGTTTAATAGTAAACAGTGTCGCGGAAGAAAAAAACAAAGGGAGCTGGTTGGGGAAGAAAACGACACCGCAAGGCTGGAAGCAGAGTCGTTTAATATTAAAAAGATGTCGCAGGTAGAATCAAGCGGTGTTGTTCAGCTAAAAACGACACCGCTTAAGGCATCAACAACGCCGCGATATTACTAAGCGAGGCGTTCGAGACCATACCACAGCGGGTTGGATTTTGGCGAGGCCTGGCAAGACCAACGGCACTGCAAGACGAGAACAAAGGTACCGTTTGGTTGAAAAAAACAATGTCGCGGAATGGAAAACGACATTGTTTGTCAGCATCGATTAGTGAAAAGCGATGCCGCGGAAAGGTAAAACGACACCGCGGCAGTGGATAAGAGTTCGGCCAAAGGCGGCCCGCCAAGCCCAACGACAGCGCAAGATTGGAAAACGACGTTGTATGATGGGCTAACGGTGTTGTTGGTCAAACCGGGTCGAGGCAATTGAGTTGTGATTATAAAACGGCATCGATTAGTGAAAGGTGATGCCTCAGTATTGGTGAAACGACATCGTTACATGGACAAGGTTGTAGGATTTGGCTCAACGTCGTTTCGCCAAGTTTCTACAAACAGGAGCGGTTTCGATGGCACGTGATTATCACGCAACAAGGAGGAAGTTACCTGCACGGTTGACGAGAATGAAGATGTGGGAAACAAAGGCGCGAAGGCGGTTACCACGACTACGGGCAGAAGATTGCAGTATAAACATCAGGAAGAGAGAGAAGCTCAAGACGGCAAAATCAAATCACAAACTGCACCGTCGTAGATTATAAGTTTTTCTATCTAGTTTTCGTAGAACCGCTCTGTCAAAGACCTCCTTTGCAGAGTCGTAGTAGTCGTAGTTGCGAAGCTCTCCAGAGGAACCTCCATAGGAGTAGAGGTAACGTAGTTTAGAACACTCCTGGTTCGATTTTCTGGTTATTCGCCGAACACCCTCGTTCGAACGTAGTTTGGAGAGGTGGTGAACCGAATAACGATTGTTTGATTACAAGTCAAAGGGGCATCGATCAAATCAACATCACCTACGCCTACGCCGGAGGTGGATATTTGACGGTCGTCTTAATTTCTGTGTAATCGATCAAATCAACGGCGCCGACATTCGGCGGCGGATATTTGTCGATTTTTCTGACTTTGTGTTTGTGCTTACTTGAAAACAGTGCGCATTGAACACGCGAGTTTCGCCAACGAAACAATTGACTAAACAGGTTGGCTTGATACAAGCTATTCCATTTCTGGTAAGTTTGTCCGTGTTGGCAACTCGTTCATATCATGACGTTGTAAGAAACAGGCTAGTGGCCCTTACCTCAAGTTTTCGGTGTACTTCGGTTCCAAAGAGTAATATGAAAATTGTCCTTTTATTCAAAATTATGGAAGAAAAATCGTAAGTTTCTAGCGCCAAATAACATGATATGCTCTACACAGTAGCACGATACATGAAACATGATGATACTATGTGAACATGTCTTGTGCAACACTAGGGCTTAGTTAGCGATACAATGACATTCACATAGTTAGCTTCCTCCATGGCCATCCAATTTGAGAGAATAACTCCATATCTCAGGAATATCTCATCCATAATTTTCCTTTGTGGACCAAACTGACGGACTAGTAGTGGTTCCATCACCGCCCTGATGCACCTCGCCACATTGCGCCCACCGTCTTGTAGGGATTCAGGCAAGTCTACTTCCCCTTCATGGGGATTCCAACTGGATTCCCAAACCTCTAGACGCTCAATGGTGAAAGTGCCCTGTTTTTGGACTTCAACTTGTACTTCCATAGGGGATGGCATGTAAATTGGAAGATTGAAGGAATCCAGTTTCGTTTGATCTATCAATCCCTGAGGAGTAACACAACATAATCATAAGATTACAAAGACACAGAACATCCTAATAGTTATAGAGCATCAATATATTTCAGTTCACCATACATCGAAGGCCATTTGGTTGAGTACATCAGACAAGAGTTCGAGGAGATAAATGCATTGCACGGTGGATGGGCCTTGACTTTCCTTCCCAATAATGCAAAAAGAATTCGCCCTCCTCGCACCAGTTCTTGCGCCCTTCAGCTCAGAAAGAACGAGAAGTCTGTCTGGAATTGAGTGTAGTAGGCTTTCAGGACATCTGGTGGGCTGCTCCTCCCAATGGAAATGTTTCCCTTATTCATCTCTTCTAGTCCTGGAGGAACTCGAGAAAGCCAGTGGAGACTATAGGACGAGTGAATGAAGTGAAGAGTGTCGGATGGGAAAAGCTTGCCGTAGAAAGATCCTGGCACTCCATTGAAGAACATCGGTAGCTCGATCCCCAATTCCTGCTTCATCTTCTCTGTGAACCTGTGCTAGGACCTGAAGACACTGTTGAAGTCATTTCCAGGGAGGTCATTCAGAAAAACCTGAAACTCGAGAGATACGTGACCTAACTTCCTTCTTACTTTGTCTAGTGCTTTGATGAGTTCTGACACAGCGAAAAGAGTGTTGGGTCCTGAAGCGCATCCCAGGTCGGCGATCGCTAGATTCCGTCCGGAGAAGTTGGAGCTGCTGACGAGCCCCATAGCGGCTTCCTCTATTATGGGCTGGGTCATTGATATCACCGGCCTTCCGCTGTGAAAAGAAGAAAGGAGCGGGCAGAATCTCAAATTGACGTACTACTTTAACTCTCTGGGTCGATTTCAAACAGATCGGACTGTCTCATGTAATTTACCTGGGACAAGGAGTTGGCAGCATAGCTTGTGTCTTCCGTTCCACCATTCATATGAAGCACATGCGCCATTTCCATCTCCGACAATTGCCTCTTTTAGACCGAAGCTAAGAAGCCTGCAATTGCAAATGGGACAGCTTCCTTCTTTAAATAGAAGAGGTGGCAACTACTTGCGTCATTGTATTTTTTTTTTTTACAAAGGGAATACTTGCATTGCACTTTGAATGATCAATTACAAGAGAGCCAACAAAGCAAACCAAAAATAGAACAAGGACAGAAAAACAGAAGCACAAAGATGCTCAATCTGAGCTTCAGAAATACAACAAGAAGAGCACAAAACTCAGAAGGAGTCATCCACCAAAGGATCTTAAACACTTGAACTAGAAGCAGTAAACACTGAAAGCTCTCTTGCAATCAAAACAAACGAAGTAGCACCAAGCGCAATCAGCTCGTCCGATCCGACCGAGTCCATGACTATTGAACACAATGTCATTAGCCGCCTCCTGGGAGTCGCTCAAAGACGCTCAACACAGTGAATCACGGGTGAGAGATTACATGGCGGTGGACAGAGATGAGGATCGAAATGCTCCGAGCTGAAGAGGCAAGGGAAGACGAGGCTCCAAGACTTGGTCAAGGGAAGCAGAAGAACCCAGATCCCCAGATCAAAGAACTGAACCCACGAGCAGCAAGGCTAGATTCTGCATTCCATCCTCCGTCAGCCACCAAGATGCAGAACAACCACCTGGGAAGAACGAAGGGGAAAACCAGAGAATCGATTCACCACAAAAGCTAATAAACCGACCATCATGAGGGAAGACCCAAGATGCATAACCCAGCCCCAAAGGAGAGCAAATCCCAACAAAAAACCCTAGAACAGGGGAGCGAGATGCCAAGAATGGCTTGAAAAGCTTGAAAGCAGAAAAGCAGAGTGAATAAACATCAAAATCAAAAACAAGGAAGCAAATAAAGGGAGAAGGATGGAAGGAAAAAGGATGGGCTACCGCCGGTCACCAAGAGATGCCGGCGGCAGCCCTGGGGAGTTTCATTGTAGAAAGGCCGCAGCAGTAGTACCACATGTCTAACATCGAACGTGGCTAAATGGAAGCCATATTTGAGTTTCCCTTTTCTTTACAAGGCTATCATTTCTAACTGCTCTTGACTTCTACTGATAGACTCATCTCAACTTGGATGTTAAGCCATCCAATCCATCGACACAAGCACATGTAAAAGGTCCCCACAACAAAATGGCCTACCTAGCAAGCATGTTAAATGACTGGTCATTAGATGAAGTGGGGAAGGATGGAGTCAGTACCTACCCAGTATGGTCGTTTTTCGCTGTTTTGGGAAGTGTTGCAAGGTTGCAGCAAGGATAGAGGATGATGACAAGGAGAGGTGGGCATGTAACAAATGTGATTGATCGGATTTGATTTATGAATTGGTGGATTTATGCATTGTATCAAATTGATTGATGGATTGAAATCGTTACAGAAGGTTTTAATGCTATGCCGAGAACTAGTTGATCCCAACAACTCGAGTTGTTGGGAGAGGTCCAATTGTGGATCATATGTCATTGACTAACATATGGATCCAAGTGACATCTAAACATTAGACCACGATATATTTTGAAAAATTTAGATACTAAAATGTCATGATAATTTTTTTTTTGTAAATACTATTTATTAGCCAAATCTTTTCCGCATTCTTGGTTATTAGTCAAGCCTATTGAATCACTAATAATTAGCTAAATATTTTGTAATGCATCAAAATATTAGCCTTTTTTGTAGTATCGTAATAATTTTGTACCTCTTTTCTTAGTAAAAATTCTAAAGTTTTGGAATGTTGACCTCCATGTGTCTCTTTCAAGTCAGTACCATGTTGGCAAGTCAATATTACTAACAAAATTGATAACTGAAAGTTTAATATTTGACTAAAAATTAGTAACTCTATAGGTTTGGCTAATAAAAAATGTGGGAAAGGTTTTGCTAAAAATTAGTATCTACTCAAAAATTTTATGTCCCAAAATATAATTTTTCAATAATATTTTTAGTAAAAAAAAAAAAAGCTTCATATGAATAAAAAGCCTATAATTGAGGGTTTATGTCGATTGTGTCACTATGTTTTGTATATTAAAGTTGTATGCCAAAGTTTAGAAATCAACCTTATACAATTTACTTACTAAATAAATTTCTCGAGAACTCGAATTATCATAATGAAACAAATCTTTACACTTATGAAGTAATCAATCATATGAGTTTTCTCCTACTTCACTAGCTCCACATTTGACATTTGTCATGTGCAGAAGATTGCTTAATGCCGATTAGAGTTGGAAATTGTCAGTAGTCCAATCCCACAATTGCCGACACTGTCAGTTCTTGTATTAACTAATCAACAACTATTTTCAGCCTTTTCAGGTCAACTGATGATGATTAGGACTTCAATAACTACTCTCTTTGGACATTGAAATCTTGAACTCTCGACGAGAGAGTCTTTTTTGTCTATGGTATAAGTAAATTTATGATACCTTTTCGACAAGAGTAAAATTCATGAATGACCTTTTTAACCCTTTGCAGCGTGACAGCCATAGTGATATGATCCCAAATGGTCCATTGTACACGTTTAAATTACTTTACGAAGAAGCTATCGAAGTTGGGAAGAAGAAAGGCAGAATTTGGCCAAGTCAAAATCCGTGTTCAGGGTACATACTTTGGAGGCATGGTTCTCTCAATTGGTTTGGTGGAAATTCCAGTTCAAGGGCTTGTTTTACAGACAAATTGCCATGTTTCCAATGGTATGCTTTGTGGATCCAGAAGATGTGATTAAGGTTGTTTTCCAAGGCCTCAAAGTTGCTACCTCAAAACTGGAAAACTGCCAGAAAATGACTTAAGGCAGAAAACTGTTTTATGAAGCCTACTTTGGAGCTTAATTCGAGGAGTATGTATCTGATTCAAGTCCAAAGGCTTCCACAACATGAAACTAGGTATGTTTATCTACCAAGAGAAGGAATCAGATGAAGAATTGGAGTTCGGGAAGGCCTCGAACGAAGGGCGCGAAGTTAGTACGAAAGCTGCCTTTTGACTGTTTTGCTGGCAGCTTACTTGTGCGCCAAGAAAGGAAGTTTATGGCCGAATTTTGAGTCCTTTTTAGAGTTTGTTTTTTACCATAATTGTTTCCTAGTTCTATTAGGTTTGTATTAGGTTTTCTTGGCTATAAATAACCTTCTATTTACGTTGTAAAAACTTAGACTTTGATTAATCGAATTGAGAACCTTTTGGTTTTTGTGCAAGTTGCGACTTGTGTTGAGTTTGGTGGATTCCAAGCTCGTGAGCGCTTGTATTGATTGAATAGTCACCTCAATCGTGGTCGGGCATCTACCTTTTATACCAATCGAGCGTTCCCCAGGTGTGGAATCGTCCTTTTGGTTCCGTTTTATCCAAGTTCGTATTAAGAACGCGTTGTTCTTGATTCGAGCTCAATAGATTCTTCGATTGAGTCGTTTGGTGCGTGACTTTGATAAACATACACCCCCAGGGGCGTATTACATAGGACAAATTCCGACCGTAAGATTAAGCAGTGTAATGAATTCCTCATGTTCGGCATGGATGAAATCTCTAACGTATCTTCTACCCATCAGTTACATAGCAACAACTTCACCTGCAAAATAAACAAATATATTATCCCATGTTAGCCTTGCCCAAGTAGTTAGAGAAAAAGGTCAAGCAAGCTAATAAACCCCAGATAAAATATCAAACACAATAGTAAGAAGTTGGCCTGCAAATTTTTAAGAGTAATAGATTATAAAAAAGAGAAGCCAATTATACTTGACTATTGGCCTGCAAAAACTTTAACTCCTTGCGTTATTGGTTTAAGAGATAAAATCCAATTAATCTGGATGATACTAGAAGAAGAGAAGCTAAACTTTTCACCAGACCGTGACAATTTCCAGCTGATCGTGATTTTGGTTTGAAGTTGATGTATGTGACATATTCTATGTTTGATTGATGAATTTATCTATTTGATGGATGTTTTCATGGATTGCATGATTTTGGAATCCACTTCATGTCAATTGAGCTATTGACCTAGGAGGGAGATAATCCTTTAGAGCCCATTATTGGCGTTTCGGGTCACTCCTATCATATATCGTTTGTGTAATCCCCGAGGGAGCTGATTCGAAAAATATTCTAACGATATATGAATCCCTAGGTTGAATAGAGCACCTTCCTATCCATCACTTTTTCGTTCCGGGTAAATCCAGAGTGAGTTTATCTCAAAACGGTAGGGTAGTGAGTCGATTGAGCTAGGATAGTACTCAACATCGATCCAAATGATAGAACTAGGGGGATTCAAGCTAAGAGAGCTCCACCACTTATAATTAGTTAGAGGGGTAGTGGTTAGGTTATTGTAGATAGGTTTGTTTCTTAATCACTATTCTAGGTTGGCTAGATAACGAAACTACAAACCAAAGTAAGGTACACCTAGGAGACCTGTGGTTTGATATTTTAATTGCTTCTTAGTTGCTCACCCTATGCCACACGCGGTCGTTGGTTATGCTTGGCCATCGATTGAGATGTGTAGTTAGAGTCGAGCCAGGAAGCATACTCTAGCAACACCTAAACGTTTCACTATGTTTCCTGTCATTTAAACAATAACAAGAAGAAAAGAGCAACCACACATATGTGATCGTTCGTCAGTATCTCATACCCAACCGACTTTATTTTATCCTTACTTCATATCCTTTGATAACGATGTTCCACTCATTGAGCACTGCTTCGATGTCATCCAATTGAAGATATATTGCATTTATATTTACCAATGTTTGAATTAAGGATGTTCAGCAATGAGACGGTGCATAACTTATTCATACACTAAACGTGGAAATAACCAAGTATTAAGAATGTTCATCAATGAGTTGAATATCACAACAGAGAAAATCCTCATGTATCTTGATGAAAACTTTCGTTATATTTACCAATGTTTGAATTAAGGATGTTCAGCAATGAGACGGTGCATAACTTATTCATACACTAAACGTGGAAATAACCAAGTATTAAGAATGTTCATCAATGAGTTGAATATCACAACAGAGAAAATCCTCATGTATCTTGATGAAAACTTTCGTTATGTGGATGCTATAAATACATTGAGAAACCCTAGATTTGTATTCGAGGAAGAGTTGTATGAACTTGAATTCATGATTGATTGACGTTTTATATTCAGTTGAGGAATTGATTCAGAATTACTTGAGTCCTGATCAAACTTCTTTTGTGATTCCTGCTTTAACCTAGAACGATAGTCTCTTCATAGGTTAATAGAGCCACCTTAATTGGAAATAGTGAATAGCTTTCCTTAGTTGAGAAATTTATTCACTGATTCGTACTGGAATTAAAGCCACTAGAGGAAGTTTGGTGTGTTATTGCCTTGGTTAGTTTATACTGGTGGAGCTTAGTCGCCCGTCGTGTATTCGAACTAAGAGGGTCTGGATTACTTTAGTCAAGATTTCAGACTTGTCAAGAACTTTCCTCGATTTATCTATCAATCTGAGTAAATTGGAAACGTATAACCGAACTAGCTGCACACTAGGGGAAACCATACCTGGATGACCTTTAGCACCTGAAAATAACCAGAACATTACTTGCTTTTCATTTCTCTTGCTTTGAAATCACTTCACTCACTTAGTCCAGCTAGATAATAGAAGTTCACGGATTAGGCAATAGATCTAGAGCCCGGATCGATAATTTAAACTAAACCACTATTCTGCATTTCCATTCTGCGATTATACTTGGTTGCATTTTGGTGTTGTGTCGTAGTGAGTCAACAAGCGTCGGAGATCCAAAGTTTTTGTAGAAGGGGATGATGTAATGGTGTTCATGCATAAGGAGAGATTCCTAGTTGGAACTTACATGAAGTTGAAGTCTCGCAAGTACGAGCCTTTCAAGGTACTAAAGAAGATCAATGGCAACGCTTATGTGATCGACTTGCCGGAATCCATGAACATATCTAGTACCTTTAATGTGGTTGATATTTATGAGTTCCATAAGGATGTTGACCTTTATCCCGGTATGAACTCGGGATCGAGTTCTTTAGAGGTGTGGGAGAGAGATGCATTGAGGCTTGTAGGTTTGATGACTGAAGACGCGACAGTGGCAAAGGATGATGG